AGACCATAACCTATGAGCACCAAGCTATGGCGAATATATGGAGCAAGGGGCATATCTCAGACCTAATGAACAGTATCCCCAAATCAAGAATTTGCAAAAGGACCTCAGGGACATGTCTTGCAATCCTACTTTTGGGACCCAGGAAACTGGGAAAACCACCTACCAGGCTCCTGTGGAGCACCTAGCGAATGGGTTAGCTGAAATCTTTCAACACCAGACAGCCTCTCAACAGGCACTGTTGCATTCCACAAACTGGTTGCTGAATAAAAAGTTAAAGGCCCAGATAATTTGGCATGCGTCTTCCTTGTGAAGAGGCAGCCGACTGAAAAAGGAAGAGCCCCACAATAAGTGCTTCTCACCTACCCGTTGTTTCCAAAAAAACAGAGGCCTAGGAAGGCTGCCACTGAACAAATGCCCCAGTTGCCGTGTGACCCTGGTAGAAGGTGGGCTTTTTTTGGGGGGTCCATTGGTAAGGAGCCCGCGGAACTCACCGAACGGCGACATCCGGTGAAGTCCGCTGAACCGGGCGTCAAAGTTCTCTGAGAGGCTCGCGAAGGTCTAGCCGGTAGCTTCCTTGATCCTTCTCTTCACTGGGCCCTCAGATCCCAAGTCTAACTTGCTAAGGGGATGGCTGGAAGCCAAGTGCAGACAATGGACACCACAACTTGGGGAAAGGAAAAACGGTTTGCCCAGTTTGCCCAGTGCCTGAGCCGCCAGAAAAGGGGGCAAACAAAAACGGGCACTGAAAGGAAGCAGCCCGCAATGCAAAGCTCCTGTACAAATGATAGATCGACATGGTACGCGAAACAAGGGGAACCACAAAGCAATGCGCCTGGTGTTTGCCCCCCTTGGTGGACTCTTCGAGCCTATGTGGCAACCACTTTCTCTTAAATAGCATTTTTGCAGGGTGTGGTTGCATGCGGGTGCAGGATCAAAAAATAATTATTTACGGGATCAAAAAGAAATTATCGACACCCGGATCAAAAACAAATTATTTACAGGATCAAAAACAAATTATCTCGCCTGGGGGTGCCAAAATGCTGTAATTTACATCATTTTCGGGCAACAGCGCGCGCATTTTACGGCTCCAGCTGTAAAATAGACACTTTCCAATACAAGCGCAGTACGCGAAGGTCACTTTGGCAGCTCCAGTTCGAAAATCACAACTTTTCAGATACAAGCGCAGTTCTATCAACGAATCTAGCATCGGTTAAATGCCTGTAGGGTTGGCTTAAGGTTGTGTAGGGTTAATGTAGGTTGGGTTTCGGATGGGTTTGGGGTGGGTTCAGGCTTGGTTTAGGGACGGTTTAAGGTTTGTTTACGGTGGGTGGATTTAGGTTGGTTTAGGGTAGGTTTAGGTTGGATTTAGCGTTTTAGGGTGGGTTTAGAATTGCTTTAGGGTGGGTTTAGGGTGGGTTTAGGGGTGGCGTAGGGTTGGCCTGGGAATGGTTTAGGGTTGGGTTAAGGGATGGTTTAGTTTAGGGTAAGTGTAGGGTAGGGTTAGGGCAGGTTTAGGGTTGGCTTAGGGTTGGTTTAGGCTGGGTTTAGGGTTGGCTTAAGGTTGTGTAGGGTTGGTTTCAAGGTTGGTTTAGGGAGGGTTTGGGGTTGGCTTAGGTTGGTTTAGGGTTGGTTTAGGTTGGGTTTAGGATGGTTCTAGGTTGGCCTCGGGTAGGTTTAGGGTGGGTTTAGGGTGGGTTTAGGGTTGGTTTGCGGGTTTGGGGTGGGTTTAGGGTTGGTTTAGAGTTTAGGGTCGGTTGAAGGTCAGTAGGGTTGGTTTAGGGTGGGTTTAGGGTTGGATGAGGTTTGGTTAGGGTTGCTTTAGAGTTGGTTGGCTGGGCTAAGGCTTGGTTTAGGGTGGGTTTAGGTTTGGTTTGGGGCTTGAAAGTTGTTTAAGGTTTTTAAGGAAAATTTAGGGTAGGTCTCGGGCAGGTTTAGGGCGGGTTTAGGGTTGGCTTAGGTTGGTCTTGGGTCTGTTTAGTGTAGTTTTCGGGTGGGCTTAGGCTGGGTTTAGTGCCGGTTTACGTGGCTTAGGGTTGGTTTAGGGTTGGGTTAAGGGATGGTTTAGGCTAAGTTTACGGTGGTTTAGGGTAAGTGTAGGGTAGGGTTAGGGCAGCTTTAGGGTTGGTTTAGGGTTGGTTTAGGCTGGGTTTAGGGTTGGCTTAAGGTTGTGTAGGGTTGGTTTCAAGGTTGGTTTAGGGTTAATTTTGGTTGGGTTTCGGGTAGGTTTGGGGTTGGCTTAGGTTGGTTTAGGGTTGGTTTAGGATTGGTTTAGGGTGGGTTTAGGTTTAGTTTAGGGTCTGTTTAGGGTGGGTTTAGGGTGGGTTTGGGGAGGGTTTTGGGTTTGTTTTGCGGTGGGTGGATTTTGGTTGGTTTAGGGTAGGTTTAGGTTGGGTTTAGGGTGGTTTTAGGTTGGCTGCGGGTAGGTGTAGGGTTGGTTTGCGGGTTTAGGGTGAGTTTAGGGTTGCTTTAGGGTTGGGTTAAGGGTTGGTTTAGGCTGGGTTTAGGGTTGGCTTAAGGTTGTGTAGGGTTGGTTTCAATGTTGGTTTAGGGTTAATTTTGGTTGGGTTTCGGGTGGGTTTGGGGTTGGTTTAGGATTGGTTTAGGGTGGGTTTAGGTTTAGTTTAGGGTCTGTTTAGGGTGGGTTTAGGGAGGGTGTTGGGTTTGTTTGCGGTGGGCGGATTTTGGTTGGTTTAGGGTAGGTTTAGGTTGGGTTTAGGGTGGTTTTAGGTTGGCTTAGGGTAGGTTTAGGGTAGGTTTAGGGTGGGTTTAGGATTGGTTTAGGGCGGGTTTAGGGTTGGTTTAAAAGTTGCGCAGGGTTGGTTTGTAGGTTGGTTTTGGGTTGGTTTAGGGTGAGTGTAGTTTGGTTTAGGGTCGGTTTCGGGTAGGAGAGCAGGCCAGGAGACCAGCAGACCAGGAGACCAAGAGACCAGGAGACCAGGAGACCAGGAGACCAGGAGACCAAGGACCCGGAGACAAGACACAGGAGACCAAGGACCAGGAGACCAAGGAGACCAGGAGACCAGGAGACCAGGCGACCAGGAGACACGGGGACAGGACACCAGAAGACCAGGGACCAGGACCAGCAGGAGACATGGGGACCAGGAGGCCAAGGACCAGGAGACCAGGAGACCAGGAGAGCAGGGGACCGGAGACTAGGTCTCAATAATTTGTTTTTGATCCCCTAAATAATTTTTTGTTGATCCCCAAAATAATCATTTTTTGTTGCTCATCCCGTTGCATGCACGGTATTGTTTATTGTCTAACTGATTCTTCTCAAGGGGCATTGTTTTTTGCTAAACATGAGATGCGCTAAATACCTGTTCCACAAACAAAATTGATCTGAATAGGATTCTTAGGTCCAAAACTGTCCTGTCTGGAAGCCCAAAGGCCCCCTTTCAATCAACCAGAGGCTTGATCTGCCTTGCTGCTGACCTCCGCGTGGGCATCTCCCACCTAGATCCGAGGCGTGAGCGGACTCGGAGTCAACACCCAATAAGGCACGTGTGGAAAACCCTCCAAGTGGGATCCGGGATGACCCCTCAAAACCCCTCGGCATGTGGAAAAAGTGCGCCGTTTTTGGGAAACCCCGACTTTGGGGTCCCTAAAAAGACACCCACACACATGCGCACACACACACACACACACATGTAGCTGCAATTGTGTGCAATGATATCGAGGCCCAAAACAAGGAAACCCTTGGTAAAGGTACCCCGGAATCGGTGGAATGACTCCCTTGCCACAAAAGTCGGCAGATGTGGGTTCTCAAAATGACCGGCCCCATGGGCTTTTTCCTGCTTCTCCCTTCAACCGACCGGGGCTCCCTGCAAAAGGAAATGAATCTTTTAGGTACCTCCCCACAGGTGCCATGTTAGTTGGAGGAAGGCTACCCAAAAGCCACCCATGGCTTAGCTCCGCTCCGCCCTGCCTCCTCCAAGGGCTCCACAAACTTGGCCTCCTGAGGCGAAGCCAAGGAGCCGCGGAAGGTCAATCCCAACTCAGTTGCTTTCTGCTCCCCTGCTAAAAGTTTAACTTCTAGTGCTGCTATGGAAAACCCAGCAGTTGGCAAAAGTTAAAGTCCTAACATCCAAGCAAAATGCACCACGGCAAACGTTTTGGGGGAGGCCACATCGACCCCAAGCAGAATCAACCTGAAAATGGAGGATTCGTTTAGCCAGAAAGTTCTTTACTGGATTGGGTCTCAAGGGAACCCACAAGGTATCTTGTTTTTTGATCCGAACGTCCCCTTTTTGACCCCCCCCCAAGTCAACGAATCCGAGTTGCTGCTGGCCCTCAACAAATCGTTGGAAAATTCAGAGAGTCTGGTGATTATCTGCCTGTAGCTCCCCCTTGGTTTAGCTACTTGTGAAAGGCGAGGGAGGAGAGCACTCCGCCTCGCTCGGCATGCTTTTGGTATCTTGTCGCGTCCTATTGCAAAACGGACCAAAGGGGTCTCGCATCGGTGCGATGCAACCCTCTTGCTGCATGTCCAGCCAGTGCACAACTTAGGTGCTTTGACGGCTTGGATTCGGAGAATTGGGAGCTCTGAGTTAAGACTTCAGCGCGGTAGCAGCCACCTCAAAAACTGATTCTGAGATAACTGACAAAAATGCGACGTGCACACTGCGCGAGCTTGTCAAAACAAAACAAACACATATCCACGCGAGAGCTATATCTCAATTGCAGCCCGGCAGATCTTTTGCACACGCTGGAACCAAACAGATTATCACTGTTGCATCCCATCCAGAAAATATCCTGCTTCTAGCAGCCAAAAAGTGTCCCAGTCTGCCCTTGCGAGTTGGTGGGAGATATGGTGGAAAATATTCTACTTGCAGTGGAGCTGCCGGCCTTCTGCCAGTGCCACTTTTAAGCCATCGCCTGTACATGAAACGGTCGCTCATCGAGGCACTGGCAGACCCCCCAGACTGCATGAGCTGACACTCCTTAGGGAGCCGGGCCTTGACAGCAATGCCACCTGCGGGCGGAAAATGCTTTGGATCGCCTCAAAGCGACACCACGACATGGTGGCCGCACTGCTTTGGGGTTCCGAGGAGGATGACCTGCTTTGCCAAGGGCACCTCCGGTTTGCCACTGCTCGTCTGCGGCTGTGCCCGCAGCATTTCCGTGCGCAGGTTCGAGATGAGCAACTCAAAGTCCTCAGGCCGCTGCTCAACCACAGCCAGGAAGCGCTTGAGTTCCTCATTGTGCCGCAATGATGCCGCGAGCTTTTTGTCGTGAGAGACAGGCGCCGCGCTGCTGGAAGAAGGGACCGGTCGGACAGAGCCGCCCAGGCTGGCCTCCTGCAAGGACTTCCGCACGCTCTTAGGAAGAGGCATGGCAAACCCCAGTGACCCCTGGAACGCCCTGATACGCAGAACGTGGCTGGAGCCGTCTGTTTCACAGCGCGCAACCTGATGCCGTCGGGGAAATCATTTCAGCGAGAAGTTGTCGCAATTCATGCGCGTGCGCAAGTATTCTCCTTTTGTTTTCTTTTAGCTTCCCTGAAAAGCAACCCAAAAAAAGGTCGATCATCGTGTATGTATATATATATATATACACACATAACTTGCTTGTGTGGAGATCCACAGGCAATCACATGCCAACGGCCACACATCGGCATCGACCACCATCTTAACCGCGAGCCTTGGCTGCTTTTTGCCGCCATTCGCAGTCAGACGATGCCAACTTTGGGGGCGGGGTCTAATTTGGGTGTCGTTTTTGGAGTTGGAACCCTTTTTTGGCGGGGATTGAAGGGAAACCACAAGGAAAACACAATTCTGGGGGTCCCCTGAAAAAAGACACGCCCACTTTGAGATGAACCCTCTTCTTTACTAGTGATGCGTGCGCCTGGCCGGAAGGTTTCTGGAATCGAACAGTTGCTGGTATAGGCAGGGAGTGAGGAAATAACCTCAACCATGAAAGTTGCTTCCATTTGGATAAGACCCCCGGAAACAAAAATGGAAAGAAACAGTAGTCCTTTAAAACCAACAGGGAAAATAACAAAAACATATTAAGCAAATGGAAGGTTGTCATGAAGGTTCCTAAGTTGTGGATTCCTTATCTGGCTGGTTAGGGAGAAAAGGAATGAGCCATATCAAGCGTCCCTCTTGGTGTCCTCTAAGGGGGCCCTCTCTCAGGAGTAAAGGCTATAACCCCTATGAAGGATCCTGACTTTGGGATTGTTCGAGGGAATGAGACTCAAGTAACTGGTGGTCTCCCGGGGTATCGATGCCCTATTCTCAAAACCGAGAGCCTCCCAAAAGCATGCATCCTGACGACCCCCTGCAGCGGGATGAGCAAACAAAACATCCCGCCGCAGGTTCTCAGCTTGAAGTTGTTGCAAGTCTACATCCCCCACCACCACTTCGGACTTCGGGGGGGGGGGCAACGCCTTTGCATCCGAAACCCTTCCGGTTGCGGCGGTTGCGGCGGTTGCGGCGGGCGCCTCGCATCTTTTCTCCGAGCCGCGGAACCCGCGGGGCCAAGGCGCGTTCCGAGAACGGCGGGTCGAGACCCGAAACCGTCGCAAGCCAACAGACTCGCAGCCAACCCTCCGCTTCCCAGAGCCCTGCGCAGTCTGGAACCATCCTTTGAATAAGGAAAGACAACTTGGTCCTCCAGCTTTGGAGGTTAGAATCAGGGTACCGACGTTGTGTTTTCTTCTTCCTTTTCCGGTTTGGTCTATTTTAGTCGGGGAACCCGCCCAACCAAGAAAGGGTAAAAGCGCACTACTGGGGGACCTAGATCTGGACAATGACAAAGGGTTGCCAATCGCGGCAACTGGGATCTGGGATCTTGCTACTGTGAATGAACCAAATACAATTCGCACCGTTGAGAAGGATGAAACCCGATTTGAACACTGCAACACTGGGATCAACCTCCTACTGGTGCCGATCGCCGTGGATTTCGTCACTCTGCAGGCCTCTGAATCAGTCTCAATGCTTTCTGGGGTAACCCTTTTTGTGGTTTGCACGGCAAACCAAAAGGAAAGCCACATAGAGGCTCCAAGTCCCTGGTTTTGACACACAATCAACTGCCTTGCAGCCGAAAGCTGCAGAGGGCATCTGCACGCTTTAAACGCCCGCCTACGGCTCGCTCCGAGAGCTGCGGGGGAGTTTCTCTCCGTCCAAAAGTTTAGACTTGACCACGAAAGTGGCCCACAAAGTTCAACTCGGGAAGTGAGAAAAGGAATCTGAACAAATATGTCATTCAAAAGGACACCGTTTACTCTACCTCGGCATCCGAAACTCGGTTTCGGAACAACTTCTGCATCGGCACGGCATCTTGTGGCACGGGAACCCGCCTGAGATTGTCTTTGGAGGCCCTTGATTGCGGTTCCTGCCGATTTTCCATTAGCAACAAACAAAAATCCGCACAATCCATGTGCAAAACAAAAATTGGCCCACTGAGCTTCGGAAAAATGCGCACATCTAGGCATACAAGAAGACTTAACTTCAGGTAACTAGGGTTAGCATAAGGGTACTAACTTTCTTCTGTAGGTTTTTTTTACTAGGGGAACCCTCCCAACCGAAAAAGGGGTGAGAAAGGGCACCTAGCTGGGGGACCTACTGTGGATGGACGAAGTCCTGCACCACCTTAGAGACCCTGGAAGGATGATTCCCCTGTAAACAAGTGGTGCGAAATGGATTTTGTCCATCCACAGTAGGTCAGCTGACCTCGGGTCTTCGAAGGCCCCGGGCTGCCCGCTACGGGAAACGGGGCGGTTCAGCTTCCCAGGCGCTGCCCACTGCCGGCGAAGGCCTGGAAGTTGCTGGCCTCGAGACCGGAGCGCAGCTTCGGAGCTGGACCTCTGGACCCACCCACCTCCGTGTTCATGTTGTTCCGTCCAAAAAATCGGGAAAATGAGAAAAGATGCCCAGTAGGTCAGTAGGGATATTGATTCCCTTCAAAAATCAACGTCCAAAAATCCCGGGAAAAATGGGAAAAGATGTCCAGAAAGAGATTCCCTTTTAAAGTCAACAGGGGGAAATAACGGATATGCTGCAAGTGGAAGATGACATGTTCACAGCAGTTCCCTTGGCGTCACAAAGAGTCAGCTTCCCTCCTGGCCGATTAGATGCTGGTCACATCTTAGGACGGGGACCACCAATCCAAACCAACGAAGGGCAACCTGAAACGAACAGTTGCCCTCTTGGAAGTCCCCGATGGTTTTGGGGGTCCAAGGTCAACAACCCGTGTTTTGTCTATCCCTTTAGAAAATCTTGCCAGAATCATGATCGAACAACTTATGGGAGCTAAAGTTAGTAACTGAGGGTGTGTCAAAAGGGTTGGATGTCGAGACAGCCCACAAATGGGTACACAAAAACATCATACGCTCAAGTTATGTCTGATAGCTAGCCTACCCTTATCTTTATGAAACATGCCCCCCCCCCCGGCAGAAAAAACACCACCGCCCCAAACACGCCCCCTCTAGGAAAACTAAAGAATTAGATCATAGCTGCATGGAGGTGTTGTTTGAGTAGGAGCCCTACAAGGACAACGCAACGGAACGCCAGGCACGAGTTGAAATGGATGAAGCCCTGACACCTAGCAACTGGTGCGATCCACAGTATTTCAAGGGAGCTTCTGGAAAATATCCCGCTTGCGAAACAGGATGGAAACTCCAGCCTCACTAAGAGGTCTTAACTTGAGGGAATCTCCCGAAGGCCTAAAAATGGGCCTTGGGGGAACAGCCCAAGTTGTTGACTGGTCAACCCCGCAGCTTTTGGTTCCCTTCCTGGGGATCTGATCCAGCGCATTGAGCATCTCTTTACCTTTGCGGTTGGATTCCTCGGATCCATGTGGACTGGAACGCCTGAACGCAAACTATCAAAGGGGCCATCACTGTTGTAAAGTATTGTAAGTCTGGGAATGAGTCGAGGCCTTCAACTCTCCATGTGTCAGTCACTGCCGTGGCTGCCTCAGTATGAACCTGATATTACATCGCTGTCACTACTGGTTCTTCTTCCTGGTTACAAGGGTTTACCGCAGGTTTACTCGCTGAACCAAGGTGGCTCGCTGAAGGGGTCCTTTGTTCGCTTCAAAAAGTAGTCGCTGGAGTGAGGCCCTTACCCAAGACATCCAGTGGCCAGGGTAAAGGGCACGGCGTTAGACGAGTTACTAACAAGGCTTGCAACCCACCGAGGGGTCTGGGTAACTCAACAACCCAATGGGCCCCTGCCTAAATCTGGGTCATGTGCCAAAACCCGCAAGCCGGAAAACCATCAAACAAAACCTATAGGTACCAGTGGGTGTGTCTCTTTGATGATACGCTTTTTCGGGCTTGGTTTAAAGGGAGACAAAAGGAACACCCAGCATTTTGGGGGATCCCCAAAATTCGAAGACACTGCCGAGTAAAACCCCCCCTCTCTTCAACCATCGTTCTTTTCTCAAAAGCCGGATCTGGTTCTTCTGGGCTTTTGCTGAAATCCCCCGAGAAGATTCGGATCCCGGGAAAGGACGGGGGAATGGTCCCTGTAAACCATCCAACGAGCGGCTTCCTACGGAAATGTCAGCTTCTTGCCCTCATTCCCTACTGTCCCTGAGCACCAGCAAGACTATTGAAAAGAAGGTACCCCTAAAGCAAAAGCGATTCTAAGCCACACCCAAGTACACCCCCCCAGTGCACTGAGGCCCTCATCGTCGTCGTAAGCTCTGGGGTTTGATTCCCTATTCTTTTCAACCATCGTTCTATTCAAAGACCCCCCCACCAGAACATCAACCAAAACAAAAACTGAGGCCCTCGTCGTCGAAAGCGACGTGACTTGACTTCGCCCAGGCGCCGGCGCCGCTGGCCTCGCCTCCCGCGCCTCCTCACGGGCCTGAGGGTAGCCGCCGCCCCAGTCGCCGCCGCTGCTGGTGACCCCCGAGTCGCGGATCTGCCGCGGCTTTCGAGAAAACACGCGGCGGTTTCGGCGGTTTTTCGTTTTTTGGGGGTTTGTGGGAAAACGAATGGTGCGAGAGCCAAAAGAAAAACCAACAATTTGTTTTCTTGGGTTGCTACCCTCCCTCCCACGTTGCCATGGCACCTGACAGGCGGTCCCTTCAAGAGGAGATTCATCTTCCGGATACCTCCATATAGCTGCCATGTTGGTGGGAGGGAGGGTACCCCTCTTAGGGAATCTGCTGGTGCGACCACCAGAAGCAAAACCAAAATTTGGAAAAGGATTTTCAAAAATTGTGGGTTTTAAAGGGAAGCCAAAAGGAAAACCACAACTTGCCCGGGTCTTGGTGCGAGAGATGCAGGGAATGAAATGGAATGGCCCCGATCCAAACAATCCAACTTGTGGTTTCATTTAATGGCATCCGCAAACAGCTCATTCCCAACACCCGGAAGGTCTTCTCGACCTTTCGCACCTGCAAGTTTAGGCAGGGGGCTCATGTCTTACGGGGGTGCTCAAAGCCTTGGGCTGACTTTTCACCGGAAATCCAATTCGGGGGGTCCGAAGTTGAAATTGGATCCCACGTGTCACTGTCCCTTTTCAGCACCCCACCTAGGCAATTCAACCAATTCGGGTGAAACTAGATGCCGCAAAACCGCAAGTGGGTAAGGAAAGGGGATGACTAAACCAACATGTGGGAATTGCGGCAGCCAACTCAGGTGTAGAGTTCTCACCTTGTGGCCTTTACCGCAGCAGCCGGGTCACCCAAGTAACTTGGTAGCCCTGCGACTTCAGAAAGCCAAGGAACCTGTGGTGGCCAAAAGCCCACCCTTGCCATCTGATTTACAGGACTCCCTTGAATAGCAGGTGGTTTTGGATGCATCCTTTGAGAAACTTAAAGGGCAAACAGTTGGTAGAAGGGTGAGACGCGCTGCTGACCTGTAGATCAGAAGCCTCAAGTAACATCCATGAGTCAAGATACATGAAAAAGGAATGGCTTCTGGCAAAGGAAAGCCCAACGGAATCGAGTCAAGCTCATGTTCTACCCTTGGGCAGGGCCAAAGGAGCACATCCAGTTTTCGGCGTTGATTGAATCAGTACATTTGCTTTTCGAAAAGCTGCGGACCAGCATTGATTCTGGGACGCACTTCCCCTGACTCCTACCACCACCCACACCCCCCGGGAAAGCGACATGCTCCTGACGCTCCCTTCCGCATTCGCATCATGCGCGTCACGCGCATAGGTGTTCTTTTACGGGAAATAGAGCGATATCCGTGGTAAATGAGCAAAAGCCACCAGGTAAACCAGGGAATCGAAACCCATCGATTTTTCCAGCCACACCCACCAAAGAGAGGCCACCTCGCGTGGCAAACGTGTCACGCCAAAAACTTCGCCTCCCGGTATGCCAGGTACCCGTAGATGGAGCCGAGGACTTGCGCCAGGATGGCGCCCAGAGCGGACACCAGCCAGAGGAGATACACAAAGGCGTCCTCAAGCCGAAAACTCCCCGTTTTCATGGGGGTTGGCGGGGAGGGTTGGTGGGGGATGGAGCCCAAAATAAGGCCCTAAGTAAGGCCTTTTTTGGGCTTCCACAAAAGCCCCCATGACTTTTCTCCCCGCCAAAAGATCTCGAGGTCTAGGGGAAAAAATCGTGCCGTGTGGTGGGAATCGGATTTCCATACGCCGACTTAGTGCCTCTTCTGTTTGGTCGTGTCGGAATCGTTCAGAGCCAAGAGTGGGAAACATGACGACTCACGGAAAGCCCTGAGACCCCATCCACACCCCACCTCAGCCGCTCCCTTCCACGGGGAACCAACAGGAGGTTGAACCTGAAAGGTGTGTAGGTGGGGCTCCATTTCTCTTTTTGGAGCGGGCCCAAATTTGGATGGTAGCTTGATGGCTTGAACCCATTTTGATGCTTGGTTTGCCCAATTGGTGCAAAAGCTAGTGAAAACGCAACCAACCGGTTCCTGGTCCAAACCTTTACAAGGATGGTGGTGGCACAACTGCGGTTTAGGTTTGAAGGGGGACCCGCTGTTTGGAGGGTGTCTTGTTGGGGTTTTGAATTCAAACGTGAGACTTTGAGGCGTCTGTAACTTCATTAGGCTTCTCTAAGAATTACCCTACATCATTCGCTTTGGCTTCTCACCATGACCACGACTGGGACCAGTTCCAAACGTACCCCTAATAATAAAACACTCTCCAGCCGACCCCAACAATTGCCAATACCAATTTTATATTACCCAGTAAACAAATGCCAAATTCTCCAGAAACCAGATGAACTCAGCCAAGTTCCCCAATTGTGCTTGTTAGGAGCCACCCAAGCAAATGATCAATCGGGCTGCCGTGTGTGAGCAGTTTTAATCATTAGGGTCTCCAATAGGTTCTCCGCTTTTTTCCTCAAACCTGCTGCAGAGACGTTTAGTACTAGAGCCTCCATTCGCTACCTACGCTTTTTGTTTTTCTGGGTCTCCAGTTGCAAACAGGCGCTCCAGCTGGCAAACAGCAGTTGCTGTGCCTAGGTTTCTCTCTTTGAGCAAGAACAACGGCTTTCAAAGGATCTTACTCAAAAGTTGCATTCTGAACGGTTGTTTTGCAAATGCAAGAGGTCCTCCTTTCCAGTTCCCAATTCTTTCAATTTGAGTCCAGTACTAAACCAAGCAGGTTGAAACTGTTCTGACCAAAAACCAAGGGAGCCTCATAATACAAACTCTCCGAGGAGTTTTTGGTGATTCGGGGGGACGGTTTATTTATAGGGGGAAAGGATTACCCTGGTCACATGAGCCACTGTAACAATATGCCGTCGCTGTAAATGAAGGACATGGAAATATGAGTCTTCGTGGCATTTGTGGTTCCAACTGAGTGGCTCCTAAAGCCCAAAGTGTGTGGCTATGAATCTTCAATGGGGAATGCTCCAAACTGGCTGATAAAAAACAACAAATGTAAATGATGCCCGCCAAAGGACTTTCAATTCAAACTCATTCCATGCAAGTAGAGAAAGAACAAGTTAACGGGAACCCATCCTAATTCAACCAGCAACGTTGCGCAAAAATACTCTTTATTATTGAGACATCATGTATAGTTACATGCATTATGTTCGCCAGTCATTTGTCAAGGGTGTTCCCCATTAACATTTGTGATATTCTAACTATTTTGGGTGAGTGTGCCCAACGCCAGTTCCCTTGCAGCCGGTGAATGTCCGAAATCTGAGGAACCAAACGCACCCTCCTGCACCCAGGAAAGGCACGAACAATAATGAAGATAGAGTTCCCAAGTTGTCCTCTTTGAATATCACCCCAAAAGCAAGATCCCTTTTGGCTGATTCCAGATAATGTGAACAAATCCACCACAGGTGAAATTAAGGGTGTTGATCGAAGGGTTCTGATCACCTTTACCCTCTGGGGAATTCATCGACCCAAAGTTTGCCCTGCTAAGTTTGGGCAATTCGCTCGAATTATCACAAGCCGCACATCAGAAACCCGAAGTTCAGCAATTCAGCAAGCTCGTTTTATCCCCAGAAATGAAAGGGCCTTTCTTTCCGGAGGCTCGGTCGCAAACCGGTTACCTTCTTGTGACTCTCCAGATTGGTTTCTGAAGGCTTTCAAAGTAGCCGCATAGCCTCAAGACCACTCACACAACCTCTGGAACACTATTTTGCATGGGGCTGACCAAGAGCCGGGAAGCCAACATCTTGCTTTGGGCTGACCCAAAACGATGAGAACACACGAAAAAGCTTGGGTTGCCGCTTTTCGGATGGTGCAACTCTGAGCTGGCCGTCCAATGCATCCACTTACAGGATGGAACATCATCTCCGGCTTCTAATGTTGACAATGAATGCGAACAAATCGGAAGCTCCGAAAAAGAGAAACCGAGGTGCGTAAAAGGTCACCGCGTTCTGCATGTTCTTGAAGAGTGCGATCATCATCCTCGCATGGTTGGTCTGGGAAACAGAAGAAAAACACCATGAAGTAAGAAATGATCGCAGAAAGGATTTCTTGTTTGCTTTAGAACCCCAAAGTTTGCGGGTGTTCCCTTGGTTTCCCTTTGCAACTCTGCAAACATGAGGTGCTCTTGCTGAATTTGGAATAGTTCACCAAGCTAAAAATACGAGCTGAAAGAAACCTCCATGATGCAAGTCTTGTCCCGTCGCTCCGTTCTGGTGCCAGGCATCGATGCTTGTCATACCCAACAGCCCCCCATTGGATGGTTCTTGGATGATTTTACTGAGGCCCTTGTCAATCTGCCTTTTGAGAATGCCATGAACAATGCCATGCGCAGCTTGGATGCAGTTCTGAAACCGGGCGGGGCCCTTTATCCAGGAAAGGGTGCAACTCCTAGCCCAAATATGGCCGACCCCGAAGCCTTACGAAGTCTCATTCAGGGCAGACCATTTTGGAGCAGAGGCAGAATACCTGTTACTTTCCGTGTACCCCAGGAATTTGCCAAGGGATCTTTTGGAACAGAGGCATATTGTTGGGCCAAGTTTTTATGGGACACCACGCAAGCATAGAAAATGGCGGTCAGGCGCGGCTGCGGAATCGATTCCACCCTTTCAACTTGCTTGGGGAACGCCCTCCCTCTAAAATCAACCAACCAACATAAGTGGAACCCTGGCAAGCGGAAACATGGACCAAAACCTGCGTAACCCCTCCTGTTTAAATTTGGACCAAGCCCAAGTGTGTTTGTGTGTGTATTCCCAATGGCCACTCGGCTTCTGAGGAGATGTGAAAAAACATGTTTGCTTGGTTCCACTTCTGCGATACCAAGGAACCGCACCTCATGGAAAAGTAGCCATGGCCTTCCATTGGTATCACAGTGGTCAATTCCCACTGAGTTCAAGAGCCCCCGCAAAAACCACAGGCATGAAACGGTTCCTTGATGTTCCTTGCCAATTAATCTGTAAACATGATGGGAAACAAGCCCCAAAGAGTCCAACATCGCAAAGTAGGGTGGTGACCCCAAACACATGTGGTGTCCAACTGATTTCCCTTAGACTACTCTAAGAAAAGATCCCTCAAAGAAACACATGCCGACGTATACAACAACCGTGCCCACATCACCTCTACTATTATGCCGATCCAGCTCTATCATTGCATTGACCCCCGTTTTGGGACCCTGCAAAGCGGGCCCCGCTTTTTCCCTGCAAGGGGTGAAATGGAAAATCCTACCTGGCTTCTCGGCAAGACTACAGCGACTACAGCCAATCCGATCGAAAGCAGATACCCTGGACATTTGGAAGATCCTTGACCAAGCGCTGGCTTTCCTAAGCGTCTCAAGAGGCCCTAGCGCCAGGTCCCGCGTTGGAGCCCAACGCAAGGAGTTGGGTGGTGTGCGTGAGGGGTTGAAGAAGCCAAACGGGGTGCGGTGATACCCTTTTTTGGCATTGCTCCAGAGTGAAACCAACCTTTAAACAGACACCAAGAGAAAACTACAAACATCCTTCTGGGTTTCCCAAAGAAAATGACAAGGCTTCTGCCCCTTGACTGGGTCGTCTCAAATGATCTATCGCCTTAGGGAAACTCGCTGGAACATACGAGCCAGACATACTGTGGATGGCCGAAATCCTGCACCAACTAAGAAACCCTGGAAAGATGATTCCCCTGTAGATACTATGAGTGGTGCAGCATTTCGTCCATCCACAGTATCACATTAACCCTTGGGGACTTTGACTCCAAGTTTGGCAATGAGAAAACCCAAAGGTCAAAGGTCGACTCGACTTGGCCGACGGGTTTTGGCAAACTACGCCGAGTGGGAAATCGAAGTTCGATTTGGACCGTCTGGGCACCCGATGTCGTTGTTCAGAATCAGCGAGAGAGTCACCGTCAAAAGGTTGCCTTGGAGTCCGAGAGGCGCAATGAAAAGACAGCGAAGCCACCAGCTCATTGTAGGCATCAAGTGGATGTGTTTTGTTGAGGGAACCCTTTTTCGGCTGGGTTCAAGGAAGAACAATTGGGAAACCGAATGCCATTTGTGCGGATCACCCTTTCACTCACAGACCTTTGTGGGGGCTTGTTTCCCATTCTGCTAAGGTTCTAGTAAACAACCTAGTGATTGACGAAATCGACGCCGATCGGCACAGTAGGTGATAAACCAGGGCATCATCCACGGGTGGTGCAACACTATGTTTTGTCCATCCACAGTTTGTGTGGTTAAACGTCCCGTGGGTCGGGGCTTTGACTAGTGGGCCAAGAAGGTGGTGTTACACCCCAACGCCTGCGCTTTCGCTCCCTCGTTTTCTGGATCCACGTTGGAAAAACGGGGAGAATGACCCACAGACTGCCAAGGTTTGTGTGGGTAGCCAAGTGATAAATGTTCAGACTTGCAGTTAGCTTGTTTTGAGGAAGTCCCCAATCGTTTTTCAGGTCTTAGTCTTCAGAGGTATGGTGCAATGCCGAGAATTATTGTCCCCGTGTCACACGTTGGTGTCAAGCATGACCGTGTGCAGGCCACGACGGTCCGCCATCGGAATCAGACAAATTCGAGCAACAAAACTGCTAAGGCCTCAAACGGGGTTCATTCGAATTCCAGCAAAAAGGACCTGACCCTCGGCAAAGAATCGGAGCATGTTTTAAACCTCCCTCATCAAATCTCTCGAGTCGCACCTCTAGCGGCAAGTCGTTAACAGTTTCTTCCAAGACCCTTTTGTCAAACATTAGGATTCACTAAAATGAGTGGGGTTGTCTGTATGAAAACACACACACACACACATACAAGGACAATTCAGGAGCCCTCCAAGTAGCTTGATAATTTCTTGTTCAAAGCTCAAAGGCTCCCATGGCCGTTGGGTCATGTCACGCATCGGAGACCATGGCACCCAAAGGAAGGGCTGGTTGGTTTCAAAGGGGTTCTCCCCATCCCTTTAAAAAGTTGCCTAAAAAAACAATTAAACCGGGCAGAACCACCTAAAATGGCCCTTTTGGAGTTTACGGCGCTCATTTGTCGAAAGCATCTTAATCGGTGTGCAAAACGCTTGGTTCTTTGCAGCCGCTAACCTAAAACACTGAAAGGAACTAAACAACTGAACAGTTGAAATTGAGAGGGCGTGAAGTCAGGCATACTTGAGGAGTCATTATCGTTGCCATATTCCAAGTTGGGTGTTTTTTGAACTTGGTACCCCCCCCCCCCCTTTTTTTTGCGCGGGGGGGGGGGGGGGGGGGGGGGAGCAGGGGTTTACCATAAACCACCTTGATCCAAATGGTCCAAGGCCCACCATTGGCCCGGTACGTCAAAATGGGAACCTTGATACGCCAAAAAGAAGAGAACCAAGGAACCACAGCGCACAAGAAGTTGGGACCGTTTTGGTTCTTTCTGCGCGGAACAAGTTTTATTGTTGGGTGTCAGGCCCCAAAAGCAGCAACAGCTATTGTGTGTCTGTATCCTGCAAGGCATTGTCACTCAAGCAGTTGGGACCTGTGTAGGAAAAGGAATCTCACATGCAAAAAACACCCTTGCGTGGTCCTCAGTTTTAATATATCCCCACACCACCACTGTTTGCGGGTGAGCAGAACATGTATGTTGGTTGCTTTACACTTACCACACATGGAGCAGCAATCAACAGATGTAAGCATCAGCGCATATGTCCAAAAACACGTCCTTATTCAACTTTGTCCCCCTTTTTGTGATTGGTTCAAAGAGAAATGAAAGGGAAATAAAGCTATCCCATCTCCACATCCCATTTGAAAACACAATTCGTTTGTCCAAACAGTCACGTGTCAGCAACAACTTCCCAATCCTTCAGTCCTTAGTCAATCCAAACTTGCACAAAACTGAAGTACCCAACCCTTTTTGCGGGGATTCATCAGTGGGGAAACAACAGAAAGGGGCATTTAGAGGCGAAACATAAGCACAGCTGGTATCCCCAAAGCGACCCCCCCTGGGTCATTTGCTCCTGGCAGAGGGAGCAAATGGTGCCTATCGTCCCAGCTTTTCGGAGTTGGGCCCCGAAAAAGCAAAACAAAGAAAAAGGCTCTTTCGCCATGCGGCAGAGGATGAAGGGCATGAGACAGGTGAGCCCGCCCTGGCACTGCTCAGTGCAGGGGCCGCAGCACGTCCTAACCGAATCCAGACAGAATTTCGGCGGAGGCGAAAACCCGGTTCGAACAAACATGATGACAAAATTCGCATTTCCCCTTCCCCGCTACTTCTACAGAAAATTCCCTCACAGAATATGGGCCCTGAACCCTATTTTTTAAATGGCGAGTTTCGCTGGCCAAAGGGGAAAGGCACCAAGGTGCCACAGCGAAGGGAAAGGCTGAGGCAGGCCACCCTTGTGGTACTATGGGGCGCTTCAGCTGAATCGTCCTGCCAAGGAAGTTGTAGGTGCGCCCAATGAGGGCATCGTCCTTGAGCAGCCAAATGCCTCGCATTCGCTCCGATCCCCAGTACCCAGTGCTTCTATGGGAGGCTTCCCTTGCCCCTGGCAGGGATTGGGATGACAACCAAGAGAAACAATCCTAGAAACCGCAATCACCTGGTGTTTCCTAAGATCCTGGTGTTTCCGCAATCACCTGGATCCACTCGGAGTGATTCATTCGGGCCAGAAGATCAAGCAACTGTTCTCTGCCGGCTTTCCAAGGATCCGTTGGAAAAGTCAAAAACCAGGGCTTGACAACGGCATCCATCCGCATTCTTTCCAGGAAAAAGGAACATGTCAAAACCGGTCACCGGTTGGAAGGTGGGTACAAAATGATCCGTGAGCCTTGAGATGCTTGCAGGTTTGGAAGGAAGCCCAACGCACAAACCAACAACCTGGCGCGGGTTCTGTTCAAAGCACAGGGACGAAACCAACTTGCTGGTGATTGTTTCAAACTGGGCTGCCCATTCAAAACCACAACAAAGGGGGTGGTTTCTCATTTAGAACCAAGAGGTCAAATTCAAGTTAGCCCCGGGTTGGGGTGTGTTGCAGCCTGGGTGGCAAATCTCAGGGCACTTTAAACTTTAAAATATAAACGGGGCTGAAAAGGGGGTTGGTGCCCTTTGACTAGTTGGGGCCCCCAACCGCCCCGCCCCCTACAAACACCCTCAACCCAAATGCCAATTCGGAGAAATGGTAACCCTGGATTTATAAATACCACCGGCTCGTTTTCGCAATCCAAGCCTTAACCATTTTAGACTCTGAGGCGGGCACGTCAGAAAGGAACCACCTCAACCAGGTAGCTCTTGGGCGGGTTGGAAGGGGGGGGTGCATTTTCAGACAAAGCCATTTCGGTGGCTGCTGCTGCCCTCAGTTTGGGGCTCCCCGAACTCCCTCCATGAACCGAAAAACAATAAAAGAAAGAGGAACGCGAAGGCCGCTGTTTTGCCATTTTCTTTGAGACGTTCAGAAGTTGCGCCAAGGGTGCCGATCAGAGTGTTCAGGAACAAGTTCAGGGATGAAATAATCAGGCTCAC